CCAGCAAGGACTGCGTCTGTCTAGGGGTGAGACCGCAGGCTCATCGGGCCTGTATGTGGCGCCTTTTACTCAACAGGCAAAAAGCAGTTGTTCCTGTTCACCGTGAAGCTCTCGGTTGGAGGCGGTTCTTTTCGGGGATCAGCGTTGGGCTTAGGAAAGGGGGTGAGTGCTGACTCACCGGTTCGCCCTGAAAATAACCGTGGGAAGCGCCTACCCCTCGGTGCCGTGATTCACATGGCCAGGCGCAGAGCCGTGCACACTCTTGGTAGCTTATCTGCAGAGCTGAGCCTCTGGGATCGGAAACACCCGGTTGCTGACTGACATCCCAGGTCACAGATCCTCCCCCGGCCCATAGGAAAGTCGAGGTGATCTTGCCCAGGCGGGAGACTTGGCGTCTTGGCCAGAGCATGTGGGGGCCTGGAGAAATCTCGGGTGCGTGTCCTCCTGCGGCAGCATCCAGATCGGTTGGTCAGCCTTGGATTCAAGGCCAGAGGCAGCGAGGTCCTGGTGGGCGTTCCGCCTCTCCCCCTGCTTCTTCCTTCCTCCTCCTCCTTCTGTCACCAGTATTTATTTTCCTCCTTTTAAATGGCTGATTTTGTAATACATTCAAAGAGTTTAAAATTCAAAGTCTAAAATTATATAAGGAAAGAGTCCTGCCCCCATTCCTGACATGCATTTGCCCAGTCCCCACTCTGAAAGGCAGCCATGTTTTTATTTGTGGTATTTGATTTTTTCCATCACCATTTATCACCTCTATGCCCTCTTCCACCTCCACCACCTATCCCTCCACCATCATCGCACTGTTGCCCATGTCCATGCGTTCTCTCTCTCATTTTCTTTTTTGCTCAATCCCTCCATCTCTCCCTGCCCCCCACCACCAGAGCTGTCAACCAGTTCACTATCTAGGAGTCTGTCTCTATTTTGCTTGGTAGTTCAGTTTGTTCATTAAACTACACATAGGAGTGAAATCATATGGTACTTGTCTTCCTCTGACTGGCTTACTTCACTTGGCGTTATGTTCTCCAGGTCCATCCATGCTGTCGCAAAGGGTAACGTTTTCTTTCTTTTTATGGCCGAGTAGTATTCCACTGTGTACATGTACCACAGCTGTCTTATCCACTCTTCTACTAATGGACACAGAGCTGCTTCCAAATCTTGGCTGTTGTAAATAACGCCCCAATGAACATAGAGGTGCATATATTCTTTTGAATTAGTGTTTCGAGTTTCTTCGGATAAATTCCTAGAAGTGGAATCACTGGGAGGGCAACCACTTTTATTTATTTCTTGTGCAGCCTTCTAGAGTTTTCTTTATGTAGCAATGAATGTGAGAGGAAGCCTCTTATTACAGAAAAGATAGTACGTTATACACAGGGTTCTGCTACTGCCTTTTCACATAACAGTGCCTCTCAGATACCTACCTATTCCATGCCATTGCATAGAACATGTCATCATCCTTCTTTTAAAGAACAGCTGTGTAGAATTCTGTTATATTCCACAATATTTATTTATCATCTACTACAAACCAGCCTCTGTGCTGAGTATTGGGTTAAAATGATTCAAAAGAGACCCTGTCTTCAGGGAGACTAGCCTCAAGGCAAACAGACAAACAATTAGGATAAAGTATTGCAAGTGCTCTTCCTTCCAAAAACATGTATTGAATGCCAACTACTGTCCGGCATTGCTTTGGGCACAGGGGAGATGCTGGTGAAGAAAATTGATGAAAATCCCTGTCCCATGGCACCGAGATAACAGGGCTGAGGGGCACATGGTGGGGCCCCTCACCCGGTCTGGGCAATAGAACATGTCATCATCCTTCTTTTAAAGAACAGCTGCGTAGAATTCTGTTATATTCCACAATATGTGTTTATCATCTCCTACAAACCAGCCTCTGTGCTGAGTATTGGGTAAAAATGATTCAAAAGAGACCCTGCCTTCAGGGAGACTAGCCTCAGGGCAAGCAGACAAACAATTAGGATAAAGTATTGCAAGTGCTTTTCCTTCCAAAAACATGTATTGAGTGCCAACTACTGTCCGGCATTGCGGGGGGGGGGGGGGGGGGGGGGGGGGTGATGGTGAAGAAAATTGATGAAAACCCCTGTCCCATGGCACAGAGATAACGGGGCTGAGGGGCACACGGTGGGGCCCCTCACGCGGTCTGGGCGTCAGGGAAGCTGATAACTAACAGCTAAGGTGGGATTAACCAGGTGGAGGGCCAGAGAGGGCCAGAGGGTGAGAGGCCGCCAGCTTCCGGGGAACTGAGGGAGTTCCCACATCTGTAGCAGTGGGGGAGGTTGTGGCCAGAGCTGAGGCCTGACGCATGGTGATGGCCTGTGGACCACAGAAGGATTTCTGCTGGTGGACGTCGCTGGGATTGGTGCCCTGTAGAATGCTGGGAACGGTGAGAGGGCCGGCAGAGGCCCGCGGGGAGGCAGTGTGGAAGGTGTGCTGCTCACCTGCCCCGGGAGCAGAGCATAGAGAGAAGGTTGTGGATCGGAGAGGGTGCTGAGGTGTGGACAGGGCCTGTGAGCGGTGAGGGCGGGAGAGGAGCCTCAGTCTCCTCCTGGGAAAGATGGGGCTCAGGCCCTCCCCGGGGGCTGTGCTGGGGACTCGCTGGGACAAGGAAGGCTCTCAGCAGTGCTCCTGCCCCACCCGACCCTCAGCTCCCCTTTGCCCACCCTTTTGTTCTCCAAGCCTATGAGCGTATTTATAATTTTTGGTAGTTTAACAAGGGAAATCTACTGTCACCTTCTATGTCCCTACTCCTCTTACCTCCACACACACACACACACACACACACACACATACTACACACCAACTACCTCCACACACCCCATACACTACACCCCCCGACACAAACACTGAACATACTCTACACCATGCACCCCTCCCACACCAACACCCCACACACAAACATCCCACACACAAACACCCCCCACACTATACACTCCCCCCACACCCACAAACACACCACACACACATGAACACATTACACACACACACACATACTACACACCAACTACCTCCACACACCCCATACACTACACCCCCCGACACAAACACTGAACATACTCTACACACACACCCATACTACATACCATACCACCTACCCCCCCCACTACACACACTACACACACCCCGCACACAAACACAGCCCACACCACACACACTAACCGCACACACACACCCCCTGTACCTCACAGACACGCACAGAGGCCTGGTGCAGGCCAAGGCCGCCTGCTTGAACCATGCTTCCCACTTGGCCTGGTCCTCTTCCTCCCCCGGCCCCAGACCACACACCCTAGAGGCAGCGTGAGGCGTGCACACAGCAGGCGTGTCTGCATGTCAGTCCTCTGCCCCAGCTTTTGGGTGGTGCTGCCTGCCTGGCTGTTCTGTGGCTCCACTGGACTGTGCACTCCTAGTAACACGATGGCTTCGAGGTGCTGGCCACGTGCCTGTCTCTGCTGGGAGCTGCCCGGGGCTGGCGGACGGGTGGCGAGGGAGCCTCAAACAGCAGAAAAAGTCAGCATTTCCCCATCCCCCTGGGCATGTGGCGCTCAGCCTGGCCAACCCAGGTTTATTTGGTGAGTAGATTTGGCTTTGTTTTTTCCTCAAGCCTCAAGGGCGTGTACCATGCAGAACCAGGCCGATCGTCTTTATTATTTACTAGAGTCCCAGTGCACGGATTCATGCATTGGTGGGGTCCCTCGGCCTGGCCTGCGGGGATAGGGCTGAAACTGGCTTTCTGACATCCCCCGAGGGTCCCAGATTGCGAGAGGGCGGTTCTTGGGTGATACACCCGGGAATCAGGCTCCCTCCTCTATGGTTCCGGGTGTGTCACCCGAGAACTGTAGCTGCCAAGTCACCCTGCGCTGAGTGCCTGCCTCCTGGTGGCCAGTGCATGTCGCAGCTACCGATCGGACGGTCAAATGGTCAGCCGGTCGCTTAGGCTTTTATATATCTAGATTAGTTCCGGAGCTGCCCCTCCGAGCAGGGCTCTGGTGGGCACCAGAGCAGCCTGGGTCAGAGCAGTCTTGCTCACCTGGGTCCTCTTCTCCGAAGGGATGGTGATGAAGGGGCCCAGGAAATGCTGCCCCACCCTGTTAAGGCTCGAGTGGGCTGCACTCGGCAGGAGTTCCCACCTGCTGCCTCTGTCTATCCCTCTGAGGGCCGGTCTCACCAGAGGTGGGGATGGGGTGGGGGTGGGGGCAGTCTGCAGTCTGTTGGCTCAGCTCCCTCTGCCTTATGGATTGGTCAGCGTGCCCTCTAGTCATAACAGGAGGGATGCTGTGGGCCCTCCGACCCCCACTCTCCCGCCCCCCCCCCCATGTGGAACATTCTGTCTGTGGTTTGGGCCTGGGGTGGAATCTCCATGTGGCTCTTGCAAAGATAGACTCTAATCTACAAGCTCCGGGGCGTCTGCAGCCCAGGTGGGCTGGCCAGGGCTCTATCATCCTGGAGGCATGAAACATGGCCACTCCCTCGGGACGGCCTTAGTGGGTGCACAGCCTGCACTCAGAAGGCCCCTGTGCTTGGCTTAATGATCCACTGTTGCTGTCTTGAAATCCTTCATAACTTCTGAATAAGGAACCGGGCATTTTCACTGGGCACTGGGTCCCGCCAGTTACATAGCTGGTCCTGCTTACGTTCTGTTGTCTTCCCTTTAGTAGCTTTTGAATTTTGAACTATGGAGACTTAGCTTTTCCATTTCATAACGAAACCCCGCAAAGGATCAGAACAGAGGACACATTGGTCATTTATTGTACACATTCAGAAACGGGCCACATGTCCGTCGTGGTGCCCGAGCTGCACGCACACTCCCATACTCCGTCCCTCCGACCCACAGCCCCTCCGACTCCCAGGAGAGCCGAGCGGGGTGCAGAATGCCAGTCCGGGAAAGACACGGACACAGCTGGGCTCCAGGCCCCCGGCCCCCGGCCCCCGGCCCCCGTGCCGGGTCCATGCTACTGCCCAGGCCGACCCACAGCCCCTCCGACTCCCAGGAGAGCCGAGCAGGGTGCAGAATGCCAGCCCGGGAAAGACTCGGACACAGCTGGGCTCCAGGCCACTGGCCCCCGTGCCGGGTCCATGCTACTGCCCAGAACAAGCCAGTTTTCACTCCACAGCTGGGGAGGGGAGAAGGGGCTCCTGACTCCCTCCCTGACCGCCCCCACCCCCTGCCTCTTCAGGGTCAGGGGACACTCAGAAGTCATAGACTAAGGTCGCCAGCTCTGCTTGCGGCCCAGGAAGGATACCTCTGTGTAGACAGGAGACTTCTGTGGCCATGAGGTTGTCCTGGCCACCCCCTTGGAGGGAGCCCTGTCTATTCTCTGCAGCCAGAAGAAAGACTATGGCCTTAGAGTCGACTCTGTAGGGACAGAGAATCCATGAGCTCTCGGGGCCCCTCATTCTAGCATTGGTCACTGATGTGGGGACCTCTGTGTAGACAGGAGACTTCTGTGGCCATGAGGTCGTCCTGGCCACCCCCTTGGAGTGAGCCCTGTCTACTCTCTGCAGCCAGAGGAAAGACTATGGCCTTAGACTCTGTAGGGACAGAGAATCCATGAGCTCTGGGGGCCCCTCATTCTAGCACTGGTCACTGATGTGGGTTTCTTGCTTGAATCACCGATGTTGCAGTTTTGCCCACTTCTTACTAAGCGTAAGGAACTGGGATTCTCCGGCCCCAGGAATCTTGAAGCGCTGACCTACCCAGAGCGTCCTTGGAGCGTCCCCTTTCCGCTCAGCCTGAACGAGAGAGCACTGCTGCCCTCTGGTGGCCAGTCAGCAGAGGCTCAAGGAACCACCCAGGAGGCGGGGCTCCCTTCACGGGCCCAGGGACAGCAGCTGTGAGTGCTCAGGTGAATGAATGTCCTTTCACTGTTGCTAGTACACAGCAAGCTCATCCTCACCTTGGGCCGTGGCCCTTGCTGCTCTCTCTCTCTGGAATGTTCTCCGTCCAGATCTCAGGGGGCAGCCCCTTTCTCATTCTCTAGCCCTCACGCCAAATTTTACCTCCTCAGGGAACCCTCCTGGACCACTTCTCTGTAAATTCTCTGTCTATTGCCCCTCTCCCTATGGGCTCCTTGTCTGTTTCGCGTGTCAGTGGATCTCAGTGCATCACAGGTAGTAGAGAGTCAAAACGACTTGTTGGAGGAATAAATAAATGCATGTCAACAAGAGTAACTGCGTTGTAGGCAGAGCTCTGGTCCTCAAAACCACACTCTGAGGTGGGTGGGGCGTATGCCACCCCCATTTGACAGATGAATAGGCTGAGGCTCAGAGAGCACCCAACAAGGGGGAATGAGCCCGTCCCTGGTGGCTTTTCCTGGGCTCCTCAGTCCTATACTCTGGAGGGGACAGAGGGTGTCCCGGGACTGGACAGCTGTGCGGCGGGATGAGGCAGGCCCCTATGTGAGGTCCCAGACCATCACTTCCTGGCCCTGGTTACCGAGGGAGGCTGAGTTGCCCCCTTGTCCTGAGCTGAGCAGTGGCCTTGTGGGTGGCGCTGGCTGGGAGTGCACAGGGCTCCCGGACAGCGGCCCGTCTGTCTGCAGAGATGAGCCTCTGGAGCAGGAGCGTGTTGGGGGGGTGGGGGGAGGGGGCAGGAAAGCTGAGCCAGTGAGGAAATGGTGACGCCTCCAGGCCAGGATTTCACAGTGACATTGAGTCTCATCAGGATTCCCAGGACCCAGCCCTGTGCTCACTTCTCTCAGCTCAGCCCAAGGGAGGGGTCGCCCTCTGATTCTGGGTCCAGCACAGACACAAGGGGCCCAGGGCTCAGCCACAGCACCTGGGACGAGCCTGGGCGGGCGATGCAGCTGTTGGAGGCCGGGATGACCAGGCCCAGGGCGCGCCGAGTCTCTGGTGTCCAGAGAGGGAGGCTGGGAGGTCAGCAGCATCTTCTCCTGGTCTGGTCCTCTGGCGAGAGCTTGATGGAGTCTGTGAGGTAGTTCTCTGTGTTCCGATACTGGGGAGGGAGGAGAGGAGTCAGAGTCCACCTCTGAGAGGCCGCGAGCACCACTTGCCCGTCTCCTGGCAGCCGATGGTGCTGGCTTTCTGTCCCCTCCCTCGGTGCTGCTGGGAAACAGGCCCAGCGTGGAGCCCCTGGTCCCCTCGCCCGCTTCCGTTCTCACCTCCTCCAGGGTCTCCCAGGAGCCCAGAGCGGTTGGGTGGTTGGGTCAGGGACCAGGTGTCCTGACCTCTGAGCAGGTCCCCTAAGTCCCCATTCTCTGCAGGGGCAACTGAGGTGACGTCTGACCTCAGCAGAGATGATGACAGCCTACGCCTCGTTTCTGCCGAGACCTCTCCCCTCAACATCCCTACACCCCAACCTTCTCTCACCACGGCCACCTCCCACCCTCCCCACCCTCTGTCAATCGTGTTCTTCTGTGTCCAGGGAGGCTCCGGACACAGACTCATGGCATGTCTGCCCACCTCCAACTCTCCTGTCCCAACATGGCCCAGAGAAAGCCCCCCCCCCACCCCCGCTGGCCACTGCTCACATGGGACTGGCCCACCTGGTTCAGGAGCGAGGGTGGGTGTGGGGGGGTCTTCCTAGGACACGGTTCCACATGCAGAGAGGTTCCTTCTCAAAGGCACCCCATCCCCACTGTGCTGCTGCTCTCAGCCACCGCGTCCCTCCCACAGCGGGTGGGCATGTGCGAGAGGGCGGGATGGGCGCCCTCACCCTGTGTGCAGCTGTGGCCCCGAGAAGGGCGAGCCTCCGGTGTGGCAGGTGACACTGTGCCTGGTGGTGTGTCCCCAGTGCCCCTCTCTGAGGGGACAACTTCTAGGACCCTGATTTTTCCTCCTCCATGGCTCCCGGGCTCTGGCTGGGTGCCCAGCTGGTGAATGTCAACCAAACCCTGATGCCCTTGACCCTGGACCCCAGGAGGTGGTGTCAGGCCCATCTGCTGCACCGTGATGATGGTGACCCCCAAGACACATGGGATGGTCCCCTGATGCCCTGTCACTCACTGTCACCCCCAGACTGAGCAGTAATGTAGCCGGTGGTACACGGCCAGGGATCGGCCCTTCTTCACAGAGTGTGTTTCATGGAGAGCCCCATGGCTCACTCCTCCCAGATAGGGTCCCGGGGCAGCCACCCATAGTCAGCCTGGATGCTGGGCCTTGAGTATCCCTCAACAAATTCTTTTGAGTTATTAGAATTTTATTTGTAATATATATATAACACATATGCCTGTTAAATTGCATATATATAATGTAAGGGCAGGGTCAGTGTTGGGGGGGGAGGAAGTCTTTCTGGTGGACAGCCTGTCCCCCTGGAGATGAGAGAGGTCCCCACACCTCAGATGAATCTCAGTCTCCCCTCTCCTGGGGAGGATCCGAGCCCGCTCCGCACAGACCTGACCCGGGGTGCCCAGCTGCCCCCTGTGGGAGCCCAGTCCTACTGTGAGGTGCCTGAGGAGGGACACGGCCCGAGTGGCTCCTTATCCCCAGCACCGCCCAGGCCTGGGGCTGGGGCTCCAGCCTATGCAGTCCTGGGCATTGCCCAGTCCTCCAACGGGCCCCCTGCTGTGTGCAGGGCCCACTCACTCCACTGAGCTAATTGTAGCTAAAACCCTGACGTCTCTGGACCCTCACATGAGGCCAGGTCTAGCCAGTTGCAGGGCCCTGCTCCTCACCCCAGACTGGGGCTCCCCTCCCCCTCCCAGCAGTACCCCTCATACCTCCCTCTGCAAACACTCCGGGCCAGTGTGAACCAGCACATGGCTTCCCTGGGAAGGAGGAGAGAGGCCCTTGGAGAAAATGCCTTAGAAAATTCTCCTTTGACCTTAAAACACAGATTTTCAAACTCCAGTTTCACCTTAAAAATCCAGGTGACTTACATTCTATGCCCTAGTAGAAACCAGGACCTCCTGGTTCATAGGTCGGCACTCAACCACTGAGCTACACCAGCCGGGCTCTATCCAACTTTTTGATTGGGAAATGCCAGCAACTCCTGCAGGTTTGATATTCTACTTGGACAAATACTTGGCACCATAGGGCTTCTCCCCCACCAAGGAGGATTGAACTAATCACATCTCAAAACTCTTACTAATTAGAATCTCCAGGGGTGGGGTACAGGATGGCATTTTTTTCTTTTTTTAGAAACCCCACAAATGACTTTGATATCAGCCAGATGGAGGGACCACCGACTATCCACTCTAAAGTATCTTTGAGCCTCTGGCATCCTGCGGTCCCAGAGCTGGAGTCCTCTTGAGCCCAATTGGCAACTCATTAAGTCGATGAGCAATCCTGTCCGCCCACATCCCTACCCGTGTCCGATATGTTCTGTTCTGGAAGCTCCCAAGTTCCCCCACCCTAGGGGGCCGCCCGGCCAAGTGCTGCCTCCACAGCCACTCACCCTGGACAGAGCTCGGCTGGCCAGCATCTCGAAGGCTTGTACCACGTTGATATCATTCTTGGCACTGACTTCAAAGTAGGGAATATTCTTCTCTTTACACCAGTCCTGGGCTACCTTCTGTGGCACCTGAATGGACGGAAGACAGGATCGCTGTTTCTGTAGCATCATCCCCACCATCCCTACCTCCATTCCCATTTATTGAGAACCTTCCGAGTGTCTGTAACTTTACACATGCGATTTCTTAACATACATGTGAGTTGGCTACTGACTTCAAAGTAGGGAATATTCTTCTCTTTACACCAGTCCTGGGCTACCTTCTGTGGCACCTGAATGGACGGAAGACAGGATCGCTGTTTCTGTAGCATCATCCCCACCATCCCTACCTCCATTCCCATTTATTGAGAACCTTCCGAGTGTCTGTAACTTTACACATGCGATTTCTTAACATAAATGTGAGATGGCTATTGTTAGCTTCATTTTCCAGATGAGGAAACTGAGGACTAGCGAATAAAAGAATTTGCCTTGAGCGTTGGGGCTGAGCAGGATTTGAACACAAGCCTGGCAGAATTAGAGCTCCCTGTGCTGTGCTGCCTTCCGAAGGCCTACACGAGGGGCATCTTCCTGTCATTGGCTCCTTCTCCAGTCCCTTCAAGAGGAGATGGACATGACAGACACGGGGCAGGGACGGAGGACTCTCTTCCCGTGAGCTGGCTGACTCAGGAGCCCTGTTGCTGGGCAGAGACTCAGGTCCCCACTAACCCTGTTTTCCAGGGTAGAGTCCTAGGAACAGTTGATAAGCTCCTACTATGGGCCAGGCACTGTGTTAGATATCTTGTCATATTAACTTATTTAATCCTCAATAACCCTGTGAGACGGGTCTTATTAGCTCTACTTTAGAGATAAGAACACTGAGCCCTACCCAGTTTGGCTCAATGGATAGAGCGTCAGCCTGGGGACTGAAGGGTCCTGAGTTTGATTTCGGTCAAGGGCACATGCCCAGGTTTCAGGCTCAATCTCCAGTAGGGGGGGTGCAGGGGGCAGTCAATCAATGATTCTCTCTCATCATTGATGTTTCTATCTCTCTCTCCCTCTCCCTTCCTCTCTGAAATCAATAAAAAAATATTTTTTTAAAAATAGAGATAAGAACACAGAGGCTCAGAGAGGTTCAGCGACTTGCCTCAGATCACACAGTTGAGAAAGGCAGGGTTAGGATGAAGCCCCAGCGCAGTGCTCCCATGCCATCTGAGCCGCCCTATGCAGAACTATGCTGCTTTTCTGTCTCTCCCGCTGGATTGCAGGTGTTTTGAGTTCAGGGTCAGGGCCTTTTCAGCTCTTGGCCTGGTGCCCTGAGCCACGCAGGGCAGTGAATGAGTACATCACGGCCCACGTGCCAATGGCCGAGCCCACTTAGAGGGTCCGGATTGGAAAATGTCTGGCGGCATTGCAGGTGACTTCCAAAGACATTGGTACCACTGCGTGTCATGTCTGCATCTTTCGGGAAGGAGGAAATGGCCATCTATTGAACATTTGCTACACCTGGGACTTTATAACCATTATTTCCTCTTACTTAAGGCAGCCAAGGTTTTTCTCATGGGGAGAGGGCATTGTGCCCGCCCCCAGAGCACAGCGCAGCAGGGGGAGACCGGAGACTGCCCTCAGCAGGTTGCCTCCCTTGCTCCTGCAGGTTCTCGGAATTTACCCTACTGCGATGAAAGGTACCATTGCTGTCCCTTTCGTCTTCGGTCTTTGCTTTTCTGGCCTCAGGAGTGGCCTCAGGGCCCAGGGCTCATGGCGCGCTTTCACGTACCTCTGCTGTCCCCCAGCATTGCCCTGGCCGCTACCTCACACTGAGGGGTGGAGACTGGGGTCGGCCAAACAGCCTGCGCTTCGGGGGGCCCAGCTGACTCCTCTACCTCCCATGCCCAGGCTCTGCCCAGTTGGTCCCCCAGGTGCTGCTGAACATAAGCAGAGCAGGGAGAAACCCCAGGCCCTGATGGACATGACCCTCCTGCCTTTGGGAAAAGGCCCCAGAATTGGCCACGAGCACGCGTGCTCCGTTCTGAGGAGCATAGTTGCCCACGACCGACCGGGTGAGTCACCAAGAAGCCTCACAGCTCAGGGGAAATCCGGAACTGTATTTGGGGGAAGAACCAGGCATGGCCAGGCTACCGGTTACTATTGTTCTCACGAGTAACATGCAAATAAATACTCATTAGAAATGAACACGTTATACCTGGATGGCATTTTAGTAACACAAAGGGCTTTGTATCTTTTAAAAAAAATGTTTTTATTGATTTTCTTTTTTTTAGAGAGAGAGGACGGGAGAGGGATAGAGAGATAGACACATCAAAGAGAGAGAAACATCATCCACTGGCTGCCTCCGGCACACCCCCTACTGGGGATCAAACCCGAAACCCAGACATGTGCCCTGACCCTGGGAATCGAATCAGTGACCTCTTGGCTCATGGGCTGCTGTTCAACCACCAAGCCACACTGGCTGGGCCAGGCTTTGTGTCTTTTAAAGTCCTGAGGGCAAGGACTGCTCTTACCCTTCTGATTGCTCCTTCCTTGTTTATCTT